TTTGTTGACCCAATTTATTTATAAAACATCATTGATTTTTCATATTTCTTTCTTCTACAACAAATTGAATGACAGTATAATCTGTCAAGTAATATTTACTTTTGGTCAATGTTGACACTTGGAAATTTTGTCAATTGTGACAGGCATCAAAATGCCGTCGTGATCTGTTCAAATAAGAACTTGTCTAAAGTAAATATTATAACAAAGAAGAAGTGGAAACAAATGGTATAAATATTCTATACAAACATTCAAAGAAAATTAACATTTAAATTTTCATGCATTTTAAATTTACTATATGTAATTTATAAAGCTTGACCATGTTTTCCTAACCTTCACCTATTGTAACATAGAGAATTTCAAAGCGATCAATTTTATAAAAGTTTTCAAATAACAATCCTACAGTTCATTGAACCTCTTGCAAAGTATTAATAAATTACATGTTTTATTTTTTTTTAAATACATACATTATTTTATATAAATTTATTAAAAAAAATTTTTTTAAATGTTGGACTAGTTTGTAAATATATTGCAAATTACTAAAAAGTAATGCATTAGAGTATTCTGTAGTTAAACCGTTTTTAAATTTCCACATGACGTATAAACTGATTGATTTGTTTTAATTAATCGATTAATTGAAATTTCCTTGAATTACTAATGAAATATCCGATTATGTTAAAACCTCAAATAATTATTCGTCGATTTAAACGATTTTTTATGTGGACCAGCACTAAGGGGATGACTCTTACTCATGCAATGCTTTACGTTAAAACAAACAAAAAAATATGTTGTGGGAAGGAGGATAGAGGGAGTAGTGTTTCTGAACATTCTACTTAAATCTCAAGTGACAGGAAAAGCATCTCTTGGCAGTTTATTATGTATTACACAGGCAGAGAAATTTTTAACCCAGAGTATACAAAGTATACTTTTCTAAAGGATTGAACTGGGCTGAATCCGAATCTGGCCTCATAATAATATAATTATAAGAATTATAAGGTAGTCTCATCGGCGAATTACGCCAAATCGATCGAAATCATTGTATATAAGTTTTGTTAATGGAGTATCAGGTGTTATAAATAGATATATTCTGTTCAGTAATTCAAATTTTCTCAATATCTGAGGACAACTCACGACATTAGAAAGCAATCGAAAGCTGCAATTAAAATTTTAATAAGATTCTATCAATATCGAATACCGTAATTTAAATTTTCTGCTTCATCTACATATTTAAAATCTCAATATCATACTTTTAGTATTGGGGTTTTTGGAATTCATTAAATTTTCAGGCTTTTATAAACGACTGCGAATTGGACTATTGTAATTTTGCTATAGTTTTTTCCAAATTGATTTTTTCCTTTTTAGTTTCATAATCTGTGTATAAACACTCTATATATAAAATTACTAGTGCAATAAATATGTGTGTATTTATTTACACATATTCATATATGTACAATTGTAAATGAAGTCATATAAAATATCGATTTGTATTCCTCTGTAGCACTACCAGTGCATGTATGCATTTTGACCTCCAATGCGAATGAGCAAACGAGACTGCGCTTGCAGTTTCCTCATAAATATTCGAATAACAAATAGTTTTAGTTTTTTGTTTATGGAGGCATCAAAATTGACTCATACAATTTGACTAAAAAAATTTAATTTGAAATCAAGTTTTCTTTCCTGGTTTTTGGTTTAACTTTTCTACATTTTTTTTTGCTGTTTTTTATTACAAGTTGAGTTGTTGCGTGCCAAAGAAATACTCGTCTTACACTTGCAGTTAATTTGCTGTTAAATTGATTATTAAATATTCATCTTGTACTGAGAGAATACATACATGCATATTTATGTATGTATGTATGATTATTAAATGTAAAATAATGTTTGTATTTTCAAATTCATCATTTAAAATGTAGTGAAATGAAATGATGTAATTTTGTACATTATCAAAGACGATGTTACTTTTAATTGCTGATTTCAATTAATATACACATAGTATGTAGGCCAATTACTAAGGGTCTTATTCATAATCATTTAATAAATGTTTATAGAACAAATTTTGTATGATAACTTACTTCTTAAATCATTTATAAATTCTTATGAATAAGACCCTAAATATTTGATTGATGTTTAAATTATGAAGTAACTTATTTATAAGAATTTTAGAAGAGTTTGTGATACATTGCAGCATACGTCATGTGAGGCAATAAGTCAAAGTATCACTTTTTCTACATGAATATATATAAGTACCCTGCCAGCAATTTTGTAGTCGACTACGAGAAAAATTCACCTCTACCAACCAACCGACTTTTAAAGACTAGCTACAAGCTAACTATCATATAATGCGGGAGTACCCCAAAATTATCTGGAGAGCATTTTGTTTCGACATGTTTTCTCAAGTTTCTTTATTATTTGGAATTTTGTTTTACATTTTTGTCATTTTCTTGTATACGTTGTGAAATTAGAGTCAGTAAATTGGAAAAATTAATCATAAAAGGTTAAATATTTCAAAACTCGGTCCCTAAATTCTAAATTCTGCTGATTAATACTGTAAATGTATTATTAACAGTTAACATTACACATAACATTTTAAAATTTATTTTAGATTTGGATCAATGGGAATCATGGAATTTATGAACAAATCATTCATAATTTTATGGATACCGGTGTTATTAGAAAAACTGATGTCTATTAATTTTAACGAACTAATATCATAACTTGTATTAAAGCGAAATGTAATTTAGATAACTAGTAGTTAAATTTTAAATATATTTAATTTAAATGTAATTAATTAATACAGTAGGGAATACAAAAGAAAACTATTACTTGACTTTTCTGCAACTAAATTTAAGTTAGTTAATAAAGAGTTACCTTTAAGCTAATTTTTTAGTAACTGACTTTAAGCTAGTTGAAAAGTCATGCAGAGTCGGACAATTGACTACTGCGTAGGACATCGCCATGTTAAAATAGTCAGTTGGCTCCATTAAAAATAATCCAAGAATCAACCATAACTAGTTGATGAAAAAGTCGGCTTTTAATGCATTTAAAGTTAGTTGAGTTGCTGGCAGGGTATGTACACTCACATGTACGTCTGTATGGTTAATTATGATTATTCCAAGAATCACAACAAATTTTCCAGACATAAAAACCTGTTTATTTCTATTTTAAAAGAAAAGTATCGGATACAAAGTAAATAAACGAGAACGACTAATAAGCCACCGTGTCTTAAAACTAAAGTAATCAATCGGATATATTACACCTTACATGCTGTTATTACGTTGAAAAGACCTTGAACTAGACAAATTTACCTAGTACACACACATATATAAACGTATGAATCTATGTACATTTATTAGCGTATATAAAAAGAAGGTTCAAATTCAAAAGGTTAAAAAATAATTAATACTCAGATAAACAAATCTAAGTACAAACATGTCGAAGTGCTTTACGTGAACACCTGCACTAAGGGCCTTATTTCACGATGTTCTTTTTCATCCACTGGGTAGACTTGAGAACGGTCTACCATCGCTCCTGAATCCTTCTATGAAGAAATCAAGTGGCAATTTTTGTTTAAGGCTGAGCCGGTCCATGTACAAACACATTGCTGAAGTACTCGAGCTATGTAATCTCTTGCCGTAGTAGCCCCGTTGGGGAATAACAGGTGTCATGAGAAAAGCTCAATCTAACCCCGACAAAGGAGAAGGCAATCACTGGTTAGAGTTGATAGAAGGGGCGGACCCAACATCATGTGAAAACACCCTATTGATGTTATGAGGAATGCTCATGTCCCTAAAAACATTCTCATCATCTAAAGACTGACTCCAGTGCATTCCTGGACCTCTTAAAGTCGCCCAACCACACTACTGAGATACCTACTGTTGTTTTGGCAATAGCACCTAGAGACGTATTTGGTAGCCCGAAATACCTAAAATAATAAATCAGGATCCCTCTACACGAACCGATCTGCCACAAAGGACCTAGGAATTTCCAAAGTCAACTGAACCTAATAATTGCCTCAACAAATAGTAGCATAAATCAAAATATCCTGTTGAGATGGCAACAGCACCGAGAAGCTTCCCCGAAGCGTAAAAAGGCATACTAAATCAGTATTAATCTCCAATTTATGGAGACTTTCCCGATCTTTCACCAATTTTCGCATCAGTTCCATTCCCATGATCGTAAAGATGACAGGCAATCACTGAACGCTAACCTGACAATTCCCCAGCATATACCGGCTCCATACTACACGACCGATCGGGTTCAGGAATCCAGCATATGCTGCTTTGTACACAGATCTGTGTCATTTGAAGAGAGAAATTTCCCTTTGTCCACCTAGATTTTAATTCGGAGCCGCAGTGCGATTTTGAGATAATTTTAACAGCTTTAAAATGTATTCGAACATTATTTCGAAATTTTAAAATATATAAAATCGGTATCGAAAAGAACTATAATTATATTTTCATGAATGACCACAATTTTGAAATTATTTTATGAGTATAAAATTGTTTTCGAACATTACTTCGAATTTTCGAACTTAATGTTGAATATTCGAATCAGCAAAGGGAATTGACTTTAAAACAATTTTCCAAAATTAATTCGTCGTTCGTCAGCGTAAGAAGTAGGAATAAGTCCACATGTACTTTAAACTTGTCCAATATCGAAAAATATAGAGTTTGTTTGGATGGGTCCCCAATCGGATAACGGGAACCCGTGACGGAAATCAATTGAAAAATGTTAAATTATTTACCCAATAGGATTATTTTATTTTTTTTCAATTATTAAGTCATTAAAATTATATTTTCTTAACATTACATTCTTTGTTGTAATTCAGATGAGAAACCTATTAACCTTTACTATTTACATCAAGATTCATTCTAGGTATAATTTGCTGAAATGTTTTTGAGTTATGCCAGTTATGTATAAACTCTATTATGTACTAAATTTAGGGTGGATCATTTCAAGAAAAAAAAAACAATTCTTTTTAAAGATGATTAAATTTTTTAACTTACCGTTTCTTCAAGTTATCCATGAATTTTTCTAGTGTTATTTGGTCCAGCAGCACAAAGTCTGGAACACCAACTTCTCGTTGTAACATGGCCATGGTGGTGGTTAAATGCTGTAATAGTTGTTTTTGGTGGTTGTTGTTATTGTTGCTGTTCTTTTTTGAAGAACAAACTTTGACGATCACTTATTTAAGCGTAACAAATGCCGTAATTGTTTTGATTTTTTCTCGCTCTCTGTAGTATCTTTTGTTTTTGTAATTTTACTTTAACAATGTTACTTCACTCATACATAAATTTATTGTTGTAGTTTTATTATTATTATATTTTTTTTTTTAATTTTTATATTTCTTCGTTTTGTTGTTATATTTTTTGTTTATTGTAAAATCACAGCATTGAAATAAAACAAACACTTTGTTGTCACGAAAAAAACGTACGAGGAAGAAGACGTAAAAGAATAAAGAAAAGAAAACAATAAAAAAAAATTGGTCAAAATAAATTTAATGCCAAGTTGGTGGAAATATTTAAGTACAAAACACACACTAAAATTAAATAAAAATAAAAACAAAAACAATAAAGAACAGAGAGAAAACGATATTGAAAGACAAAAAAAAAAAAAAAAAACACACAACTAGTAAATCAAAATTAAAAAAAAATTATAAAATCGAACAGCAAATTAAATTTCACTACTGTCACTCACTACTCATTTTCAATTGTTGTTTTTGCCTTTTTTGAAAATGATTAGTTTTGGTTAAAAAAAATATTAACGATAATTAAAATAACAATAATGATAATGAAATGCAGCACTATTAATCATAACAGCAAACAGTTTTTAATTATGCATAAATAACAATAATTATGATGATCATGATGTTGTCGATGTTGATGATTATAATTATTATTATGTTTGTAGGTTGATGGGTTTTTCGTTTGGTAGTTGGCGGGCAGGCTAAGGCAGAAATGGCATACAGATAGACGGACAGACCGATCGATTGACGAAATTTTACAAGTCAGTTTTTGTAGTGTGAGTTTTTGGTAGTTTTTTTTTCTCTAAATAAATTTCACCCATTTCATTAATTTGGCTAAAATATTTACTAACAATATAAGAAACAAAAACACACTTCAAAATATTAGAAACAAAAAATACTACCCATAATGGCTAAAACACAAACACACACATTCATACAAAATCGTACATATTTACATACATACATTAATATGCGTACATTATGTACACAAATGTATATGTATCTACATATGTATATAATTCCAGCGTTATGATCACTATTGGAATGTTTGTTTTTCTAAATCTTTAAGATACTTTGCAAAAAAATATGTACACAAATCTAAACATACAAACAGATGATGTATTTTGTGTGACTAATAATGACATTTGCATTTTTAAACAATTAATAAGCACAAATCAAAATAAACAATTATTATAGACGATAATTTTAATAAAATAAGGAAGATCCTCACACACAAACACTACAGATCAATCACTGTAATACAGAACAAAATTATTTTATGATTATTTTTTTCTTTTTAATTCAACACTACCTTCTTAAAGTATTTAAACAAAATATTCACATATAAGAAGAAATAAATAAGAGGAGAAAAAGAAGCCCGCGCGATTCCAAAACAACCACACTGTATAAAAAACAAAATTCAACTGAATAAAATATTTAGAAAATGACGAATTGTTTAGTACGACCAGTGTTGCCAAAATCACTAAATTTGTAAAGTTAAATTTAACGAAAAAAGTTCTGCACAATCATTAAATTATTTAATTTAATTTTTAGGGGGAAAATAAAAGTTAAGAAACTTGGACTTTATTATATTTATTAAGGAAGTTTTAAGTAAAAATCAACTAATAAATTATTCACTTTTTACAGCTATATTTTTTTATCAGTAAGTGTTAAAGCTACACAACAACACTAACACTAGTGGTGGCAATCTAAGTGCAGAAAAAAACGCTTATATTTTTTTGTGATTTAAATTTAATTTCATCATCCTAAAGGTATGTTGTGAATTTTATTTGTTGTATACAATAGTTGTCCAATTCAGCTTGGCCATGCTGCCAGATTTAATGATTTGTTTTTGTTTAAAAAATAGTAAATGACATACACCCAATTTACACGATGATTTTTTTTCATGTTTGCCCAGACGTCTGTTTTCATGTTTGTCGATGATTGCCGGTGAGCGGGGTAGAGAAGAATGGGGGGTAAGAAAACAAACATGATATGGGATTTTCATGATTGTTTTTGACATTCCTCTTTAAACTCATTCGTACTGTTGATATTATGCTGATGTAAAAAAATAATTATGTCTTTTTTTTACATGAAAACATTAAAATTTGCATTGAAAAAATACTATAGCGTGTTATTAAATTTTTTTAAATCAAATTAAATGGTTTTTATGTTAAAAATTTCATTTTATTTTTATTACGAATAAGTAATTAAAAAGGATTATACAATTAAACATCAAAAAAAGACATGCATAGTTTCATGTAAAAAATCACCGTATAAATGTTCATGATATTTTGGAAGATTCTCAAAAGAGAATTGGAAAAAACAGACGTCTTCATGTAAATTGCGCCATAGTAATGATTTTTAATTTCAAAATGAATATAAGCAAGATAGAGTGTTATATTCGACTATGCGGGTCTTATATCCCCACCATCAAACCGTATGCCGTAAATGGAATTATCGAATGTATGTCGAATTTCAAAGCTATACTGGCATTTTAAGCCAGTAATGTGCGTTCACGTCATTTTCTAAAGGGGGTCTTATATCGTTTTCTGAGTCGATTAAGCTATGTCCGTCTGTCCGTCCGTCCGTCTGGCTGGCTGGCTGTCCATGTAAACCTTGTGCGCAAGGTACTGGTCCCAATTTTCAAGATAATTGGATGAAATTTGGCACACACTCTTTTTTTGGCCATTATTTCACCTAGCCCCCATACAACAGAACCTCCCGAAAAGGGCTTCTAAGCTCATAATTATATTAAAAATACCTGTATATTGATAAAAAGCGGCACAACTAAGTTTTATACGAGCCTTGATGACCTTGCCAAATTTCATAGAGATCGGGACTCATTTGATCCTAGCTCCCATACAAAGTCCCCTTCAGAAAATTACTTGAATGTCCAAAATTAACTTATAAACACAAATATCGCGATGAAATTCAGCACAATAAAATATTATGTAAATATAAATATACATATTCACAAAATTTTATCGGGCTTGGTCCATATTTGCCCCTAGCCCCCATATAAAGCCTCTTTCAGAAAATTAGTTTTTCATCCATAAATTGCTTAAATGTATCGGAACAAGGGAATATTGAAGATAAATGCTTTATTATGAAAAATAAATCATATTAAATATTCATAACTGGTGTAGGGTATCACTATACTTTCTTACTTGTTTGTTTTTATTTCTTAAAAAAAAAAACAGAACTAAAGTACCGTTTGTTTTATTTTTCTTTTGTATGTATACTACATGAAAAGAAGAATCTTTTTGTTTCAGTTGATCTTTTGTAAGTGAAGTTGTATTTTGTTAAAAAAGTTATTTTATTGTAAAAATTTTAAATAATTGTGGTGATCTAAATGGCAGAAGCGGATTTAAAAATTGAGGTAAATTTACTTCATACATAAAATATATTTTTTCGGCTGTGCCGAATCTTATATACCCTTCACCATGATGTTAAAAAACAGTCAATACAAATTTTATTACAAAACTCAAAAAATACCAATTGCAAAACGGTAAGGTACCAAGAAGTCCCCTTTTATGGGTTCTCACTTAATTCGTGCTATACATGCATAATTTAATATTTCTAGGTTCAATATTATAGAAATTTCAAAAAGTACCTTTTGAAGAACAAAAAAGTACCAAAAAGTCCCCTTTTATAGGTTTTTACCTAATCAAGGCCCTACATGCTAAATTTCATGTTTCTAGGTTCAATATTATAGAAAATTCAAAAGGTACATTTTGTAGAACGAAAAAGTACCAAAAAGTCCCCTTTTATGTGTTCTGACCTAATCCAGGCTCTACATACTTAATTTCATGTTTCTAGGTTCAATATTATAGAAAATTCAAAAAGTACATTTTGTAGAACGAAAAAGTACCAAAAAGTCCCTTTTCGTAGGTTCTTACCTAGTCAGAAAGTCCCCTTCTATGTGTTTTCGCCTAATCCAGGATCTACATACTTAATTTCATGTTTCTAGGTTCAATATTAAAGAAAATTCAAAAAGTACCAAAAAGTCCCTTTTTATAGGTTCTTATCTAGTCAAGGCCCTACATTCTAAATTCTATGTTTCTAGGTTCAATATTATAGAAAATTCAAAAAGTACTTTTTGTATAACGAAAAAGTACCAAAAAGTCCCCTTTTATGTGTTCTGACCTAATCCAGGCTCTACATACTTAATTACATGTTTCTAGGTTCAATATTAAAGAAAATTCAAAAAGTAACTTTTGTAGAAAGAAAAAGTACCAAAAAGTCCCCTTTTATGTGTTCTCGTATAATCCGGGCTCTACATACTTAATTTCATGTTTCTAGGTTCAATAGTAAAGAAAATTCAAAAAGTACCTTTTGTAAAAGGAAAAAATACCAAAAGATCCCTTTTTATAGGTTCTTACCCAGTCAAGGTCCTACATGCTAAATTTCATGTTTCTAGGTTCAATATTATAGAAAATTCAAAAAGTACCTTTTGTAGAACGAAAAAGTACCAAAAAGTCCCCCTAATCCGGGCTCTACATACTTAATTTCGTGTTTCTAGCCAATAACAACGTAACGTAACGTGATGTTCATTCTTTGCTTTGTATTTATAAACAAGAAATCACAATAACAAAAAAAATTTACCGTTTGATACTGTGTGTTGTTTTTGTTTATTTTTTTTTTAGAATTATTTGAAATTTTCATGCCCCTACACTAAAAGTCGTTTTGCGGACAAGAACTACAGATACAAAAATTTTAATTAATTTTCCCGCGATAAGCTCAAAATTGCGGAATTTTTGAGACTCATTTCGAAAAGATTGCACAAATTTTCTTTAACATATTGTACTGAGATCAAGATTTTCAATCGCAGGTAGGGAACTGTGGATCTTTCCAATAAAATTGTTTTTTATTTTTCTCGTATTTAGTAGATTAAAACCCATCGTTTAAGAGGTATTCCTCAAAAAAAGTGGTCCAACGGACTTCCTAATACCAAACGCATTATAAAAATTTTAAATCCAAAAATGGATAATACCTGAATAACAAATGAAAGAAATACATAGATATGTAGCTTTTATTTGTAATAATGATTATCAAATTCAATTCCACTAAAAACTTTGCAGGCCTGCAAAAAATATAAACAAGAAATAAAGGATAACATTAAGTTCTCCGTAGCGTGATCTATTCGCCGTAAATATGCAATTAGCCTGATTTCAACACTGCGGCTTATGGCTGTACTACTTTCTCTTGAAAGTACTAACATGAATTTATCGTAAAAATTTCCAAGATCTATACTACTGTTATGCCAAACAATTAAAATAGTTTTTGTTAACAATCCTTTATTCAACGTGTAATAGTTAGCTTAAGTTGATTATAGTTGGCAGTGTTCGCTTTACTAACAGAAGCATACAGTTAGGAGGAAAAATAAAAAAACTGATTCCTTTTGGAACCAGTAATTTCAGCTAAACAATTTTCCTACAGAAGCAGTGTTGGAAATACACATGAATTTTGTTGCCTAAAAACAGTGTTGGAAATGTCTTGAAAATCAGACATTTAATTACCCTGCATTACCATTAACAATTTTAGTTAAGACATGAACCCCATGAAACATTTATTAGGCATTGTTAGGAAATGTGAACAGACAATTTTATTCTATTCTCATGCGGATTGATTTTGCTAATTTCTCGAAGTTTATATAATATTTCTGAATAAATATACATACATACATATGTACATTCATTAGTAGATATAAATTTCATATGCTACAAATTTAAAGTATGGGCAAAATATTGAAAATTTGTATACCCTTTGTTGGTTTGTGAATTAGGAAAGTAACCTCAAATTGCCAAATATAAAATTTGAAGAGAACAGTTTAAGTTTTTGTGTTCAAACTAAACAAAAATTTAAAGTGTTGTCAAGAAATTCATATTAAGCACCCAACAAAAAAGAAGCGAAGAATTTATTCCATGGAAGTACTGAAAAAGACCTGAAGAAGTGATTATTCTAACACATGCTGGTCATAGAAGGGATGTCCTTTTATTTGATTCCAAATTCACTACTTTTGAAGTCATTCTCAAGAAGTAATTTTTATGTTCTCATTTGGAAGTTATTTGGTAGTGAAATTGTAATTTTGCTGGGCTGCTAAAGTTATACAGTAGACAATAAACCGTAATTAATATTTTTTTATTATATTTTCCAAGCTTCAAAATATTTAATACATTTTGGAAAATTTCTTGTTCACTAACTTTTTTGAAGTGAAAATTTTTATGGAATTTTGTAAACAAAGAATAGCTGTTGCGAACAAAATCAACTATTGTGAATGACTTGTTCACGGCATGTTCACGATAGCAATCTTCCCTTAGAGGGGAATTAAAAATTCATGAGAAGAAACATTTCACTACTATCAGCGCTTATGTATATAATTTTATGTTTTTCCAAAAATTTGCATTAATTTTAATACCAGAATAGCGATTTTCTAATTCTTCTTTGTAAAGCAAAATTTGTTTGTATTCTCCAAAACTAATCAATAACTTAGTGATGTTGCAATACTATTTTTATCTTGATGGAAATGAAAAACATCAAATCTTCCATCAAAACTCTTCTATTTAACTAAACGGAAATGTAAATTAAAAAACTGAATAAGTGACTATTTTCGATATGACATCATCTTTTTAACGCGTTCTTTGGCATTATTTGTAGTGTGCTCTCCGCCAGCATGTCGTGGAATGCATTGTTTTAGATCAGTCACGCCATTCGACTGACGACCCAGCCAAGCATTTGTTGAGTGGGGAAAATCATCTTTGCGATAGTAACCCATTATACCGGATTTTCGTATAGAGCCCAGCTCATAAGTTATAAGTGGACTTAAAATATTTGATGCATGGGCGCTGGGTAATTTAGCCACTTTTGCTTTTTCCATCGTACGCATTATGCAACTGGTGTCACACGAAAGACATGCGAGATCTTGTAGAACTTTAATGCGAGCTCCAGCTGCAGCGCAATCATCATTTGTCGAATCGATATAGTTTTTAAGCAGGTTATGTAGTTCTTGGACATCTTTGGTAATATTTTCTTTAAATGTTTTTAAAATTCCTTCAATGGCAGCAAAACCTAAGGTTTCATTTAAATTATCTACAGTCTGTGAAAACTTTTTTTCGTTTTCATTTATTTGCCGCAATATTTCAGAAAATTTTTTATCAACCCGGCATTGCAATTCTTGTAGGTGATCCAGAGAAGCCTTTCTTTTCAGTTGATCGTAGTCTACTTTATTAGCTAGTTGTATTTCCAATTCGGTTTTATCTACTTTCTCCACCATTATATCTTCAATGCTTTTTTTCATATTCTCGATGCTGCTCTGATTGTTTGAAATACGTGCCTCAATGCGACTTTGGGTTTCTTTTAAGTTGATGGTTGTGATCTTATTATCTCGCATTTGTTCTTGAATTTCAGCGATAAGAGAAATCGTACGTTGACTCTCTTGTTGCAATAAACGTGAAGAAACTTCATTTACTTTGTTCGTCAGAAGACAAAATTCGCTTTTCAGTTCCATTAGTTGATCGAGAAGCTTTTCGGGAGAATAACACAGATGACCCTCAAGTTCATCTTGAAAGATTGTAGTTTGAGCTATAATAGCATCAGGTCGAGAGCCAATATTCTGAGCCTCTAATATATCATTCTCTGATAAATCTTCGTTCAGTTGTAGACCTGAAGACTGCCAATTTAGAGATTGTACTACAGGCAACTGTATTCGATTAGATCCATCGATATAAATGTTTTCTTTCTTAAATTCTCGCAGTGTTTGAGCCATTGAATGGAGTGTTTGGATTTGATGGGAGTCGGGTTTTTTACTTAAAGTAAGGAATGTTAGAAGCAACAACTGTTCCATTACAAATTCAAGTTGATCCTTCATTATTGCTATTCCCAATGAAAATTCTTTTGACAAAGAAATTTGTTGTACTGTCATTTCTATTTTAGAAATGCGTTCTTTTAGTTTGTGCACCGACAACTGGGATGTTATAGGTTTTGTGAGAGATTTAGTAGAGGTTTTTGAATTTGTTGGACTTAGTACCTCAATAACTTGCTTTTGCTCAAATGTTTGTTCTTCTGTTATCTCTGGTAAAATTTCAGAAACTAGTGGAATTTCTTCTGGAGTGGTAGACTCATTTAATGTTGATGCATTTGATTCAGTCGGAAGTTCATTTTGTTCTGTATTGGTATTTTCTTCATTGGGATTAGTACCACCAAGTAGTCTAGATTTTTGTAACAACTCATCTAAAATATTCATAATATATATTTTTATAATTCTAAAGAATTTCTAATAAACTTACAATTTGATGCTTTATTGCAAAAACAAACAGTTTCAGTATCATTGTTGCAATATTCAATCATTTCATCAGTGATTCCTAATTTTTCAGCTATACAAGTGAGCAAACAATGGAGAGCTGAAAAGTTGACGTGACCTGGTTCAGGAAAACCAATTGCCATGTCAATAAGTTGACGAAATTTCATTGTAGTCATTCTCATTTAAAATATTGTCTAAGTAAAATATGCAGCAAATATACACAATCAAATCATTCAATTCTGCAAACACAATTTGAAAATATTTAATTTAGTTGACGTTCACAAATTTTATTTAATTTATGTTTGTTACTTTAGGGTACCCCCCACAAAAATTTCGATTTTCGTAACTAATAATAACAAATAAAAATCGTGTCAGGGCACTGCTACACGTTCAGTATATATTGATATATTTGGATAATAAAATACTTTAATGAATTCGGGACGGTATGCTACATGTTCATCATGCTTTGGGGGTAATGAGTACATTTTCAAATACAATTACATTTAAAGTAATTGTAATTGAAATTCGGATCACTGCAGCATCTCCATCTTCTTTTAGCTCTCTGACACAATTAGCTACGAAACGTTCAATTTTTATTTACGAAAAGGTTCACTGGGCTGAGCTAAACGAACTCTTTCGGCAATACAATTGGAAACTTTGTTTCCTAGACAATAATATCAATGACATGGCGAAAATGGTCAACATTCATTCCCTCAAAAAAAAAATCGTCGATTAGACCTAAGTCTTGGTTTAATCAGAAGTGCAAAAATGCAATCAGATCCAGAGACGAAGCTTTTAGAATTTGGAACAATAACAAAAACATCCAAACTGAAACGCAGCGAAAAAAGGCAGGGTCTTTATATGCCAGAGTACTAAGATGCAGAAAAGCTCTGCACTAGCAGCGCCTTCGCGCTAAGGTCCTTGCTACTCCTAAGGACAGCAAAACCTTTTGGTCGTTCGTTGAAAGTGTAAAGGATAATGCTAGTTTTTAAATTTCGACGCTTTTCAACGATGACAAAACTTTCACAGACCCTGTTCATAAATCTAACCTTTTAGCTGAGTTTGCCGGGAAGCGATCAAACATTGCCCGACCTCTAAGGGTATCAGTAACTATGCGAAATATATTCTTCCGAGCGCGTTTTAGCAGATCTCAATTTAAACAAATCTCCTGGAGCAGATGACATACCGGTTCTGGTCTTGAAGCAGTGCTCTTCGATGCTAGCTCGTCCATTAGCTAATCTTTTCAGCATTCCATACCATGACGGCGAATTTCCTGAATACTGGAAGATAGCTAAGGTAAAGCCAATTCCTAAAAAGGGAGAAGCTAATAACCCGAAAATTATCGCCTAATAGCAATTTGTTCAGCATTTTCAAAGGTTACGGAAAGTATAGTTAACTTCCAATAATGGGGTCATTCTATTCACCATTTTGGCGAAAGTAAAGTGGTGCCTCTAGCACTTTTATCAAAACTTATTGTTTGGTGTCGATAATAATTTCTATCTATTTATATAGAGCTTTCTCAGAGATCGCACTATAGAAGTTGTGATAGATGGAATCTTATCAAATGAGTTCAAGATAAATTTAGGAGTAGCGCAAGACACAGTTCTTTCGATTATCATTTTCCTTAATTTCATAAACCACCTTCTATGTAAAACTTCCAACTCTATTTACTCTTATTCCGATGACAGCATATCTGCCATTCTTATTCATTCAATATATAGCTAAGTCCTTCAAAGATTGGAGCACAACATGAATGAAAAGCTCAATCACGACTTGATAACAATCTCTGAAAAGAGTCGATTTTAACGCCCGCAAGACTTTTTGTTGTTTTCTAATATACAAATGTATGCAGATAATGTTGTTTCATCTATATTCATGGGTGGAGTAAATATTAAAGAATCGGAAACTCTTGATGCTCTGGGCATACAGTGCGATGTCCGCTGGACTAATCACATTTTTCAAGTTTTAAAAGAAGCATTCAAGTCTCTCTGTTTTTTAAAATTATATGTACATTAGGGTTAAAACTTTTATACAATTTTTGGATATTTCAAATCGGCCCTATCCATTCTACATAGAGCATAAAAATATATGTCGAAAAAGTATATACTTTTTCCCGAGCTTTAAAAAAGATTCCGCGGCAAATGCTTTGAAGTTTTCGATATTTACTCAAAACAAAATTTTAATTTTTTAGTACAAAACTGGAAATTTTTGATATATACTAGTGTCATTGTTTTACCAGACACCTATACGGAAAAGACTCAAGGATAGGGGCGGCGGTTATCCTTCTTTTAACATTAACTTAAATGTATATTATACTATTCAAAAAATTCATGAAAATTTGTTTGTGAATTTAGAATCGCTGAAGGTTTTTGCACCGAAATGACCTGAGAAACAAGTTTTCATTATCAGAACACTACTGGCTGCTACGTAGTGATAGGGCCTAATTTTGGTTATACCTTAATGTACATATGTATTTCACTCCATCTGATCTTCTTACTATTTACGTCAGCTATATTCGACCGAAATTGGAATAGAACTCTCATATATGGTCCGGTGCTTCGAAGTCTATTTAGCTCCGAAATTTACCGCTTACAGGGTATCCAACTTCACTAGAGCACCGTAGCAACATGGGGTGTATATCACTGTTGTATCGTTATTATAATGTAATGTGTTACTATGAAATTAGGGAACATACTTCCGTTACCCGTATATTTATACGCAACACACGTCTTTCTTGAAGAACACATCCATTTGTGGTAGATTGGCTAGTGGATTGTACGACACATTACAGGAAAAATTCTATCCCCCCTCCCACAACCTATTTTCTTACAATACAACACAATGCTTTGCATAAGAAAGGGTCGTTCCCTGTGTTATTTTCCACACAGAACAAGACGTAAGTGACCCCTCCATTTGGACAACTATTATATATATTTAAAAGTATAACTGCTTTTCTTTCAGTATAATGTAATTGAGTAGTTAATTCGTAGATATTTGTAAAAGTCATTGTTATTACGTTAACATACAACGACATGATATTAATGACCTAAAAAGAAAAAAAAAATACGAAAACAAAGTGCTGCCCCTTTTGACAGCTCCTTATTAACTGTTGCTATACAGTGTCTACAGCAGCTGATTAATGACGTCATCATGGTATTCCTTATCGAAATTAGCTGAAGTTTATTTAAGTGACAAATAACAAAAACTACAATAGTACTTGAAATACAAGTAGATAAACATAAATCAATTAACAATAGCAACAATAACAATTGATTCATATTGGACATATACAGACACATACATAAATATGTTCATATTTATATTAGGTTGGCTCTTTTATGTTTTGTACATTTTGTTTTTGTCAGGCTAAAATTTAAAATGAATCCTAAAATTTGCGGCCAATGAAGTGGGTTTATCATGGGTAAGAAATTACAAGAAGTCTGATTTTTATATATAAGAACTTCTATATTATTCTATATTACTTTAAGGACATTTCTGTTCTTATTAAAATGGTGTTATTTGTGTGTGTTGGCATCTCACAGTATCTCTAACATATTGTATGTGTGTACATGTTGCAAAGCAAATACTAAAAGGTAATAATTAAAGGCCTTCTAGAAGGCCTCATATTAAAAAGTTGGAACAGTTGCAAACTTTTTCCATATTGATTTGAAGTATTTTTACAAGTAAGCATTTCGAACTTGTTCTCTATAACGAGGAATAATACAAAATGCAAATAAATGATTTTTATAAGATGGTTATGGTAAATTCACTAGACAATGCTATTTATTTGTTTGGGTACCTAATACTAATTGTATAACCAACTGGTAAAAAGGTCTTTAAAAGTTCTAAACAACTAAATTTTAAACTGTGGCCCTTGCGTTATTTCCCTCTGAGTAAGTATGTGAATTGATGTGTGTGTATATCTATAAAAATGCCAAGTAAACGGAGCAGAAGCAACAGAAACTGTTTAAAAAAAAAAACAAATAACCAAAATAAAAAAATACAACTCAACAAAGCAATTTTTAATTTTTTACGACAGTTCGATTTTAGATTCACCGGAGGCTTGTAGCAACTCGCTTTATAACCGGGCAAACACAACTAAAATAAAAACAAATAACAAATATTTGACTCAATATTATCAATAACACTCAATGGTTTTTGTTGTTTGTTATTAGACCAGATAACAAATAACATACGAATCTTATTGAACTAAAAAATAAAAAAAAAACGGTTTCATAATATAGAACAAATCATAAAAAAATAACGAAAATAATTACTTTAAACAAGTAACTACAATTTACAAAAACAAAAAATAATAATAATAACAAATCAAATTTTTTAATCGCAATATTGATAAAATAATCAAAATAAATATGAAAAATAAAAACAAGTGCAAAAAACAAAAATATTTTAAAAAAATAACCACTTTATTTTTTGAGTAAAATATTTGAAAGTGATTTAAAAACCAAACAAATAAAATTAATAATAATTAGCAAATAAAGAAAAATAAAATAAAACACGCTTTAAAATTAACAAGTAAAATACAAATACAAAACCACTGTAAAATATATGTATGTAGCTTATAAAATTTTTCGAAAAAGTTCTCAATAGAGAAATTAAATAAAGATATATATTCGTCTTTGTTAGCAAAATGTTATTAGAAATTGGATATTCTTCAATATATTATATTGCCAAATTTTAATTGGCGTTTTATGTTTGTAAATGAAAATTGTTTTGCATTTGAAGCTTAAGCTTATAAATTTCAAAAAATCAGTCTTAATTAGAAAAGTGATTCAAATTATTTAGCTGTTTCCCAGTGGTTGAACATTAAATTTTAAGATTCTATTACATTTGATGCTAATAAAATCGTAACAAAAATAAATACATATTTACATATTTATGTACATATATACTTCACACAATAATGATGAATGCTGGCCGCCTACACCATGTGAAATAAACAAATTGTGAATAGATTAATAATAATCATACGTCCCCTGTTACCAGATTATTAAGTAAATAAACATTTATTTGTGTTCGCTCAACACTAATTGAACTATTTAACTTTATAAATATTTTTGATATTAAATAAATAAATGTTGTTTTTTGCAATGAAAAATTTTATAATAACAAAACATATATTTATTCTATTCATAACTTAAAACTAATTAAAATTTAAATGAAAAGTTAATAACAAAGGCCAATAAAATTTTAAAAAAGTCGAAACCCAGAGACCAATGTATGCTTTATCCATTTTATCCATTACATTACACTCTATTTTTGGCCGTATTTGAGACGCTATAACAGAGC